TGCAGCAGAGCACTGGCATCAAGTGGGACCCCGAGGGGGTGCTGTGGGACGACCTCGTGAGGACCACGCTGCGACCGCCATGGTGCGAGTACCCTGACTGGATGCACGTGTACGTCGCGTCAGGGGGGGTGGCGCAATATGAGATTAACGGGCTGGTGAACCTGCTCTGCTCACACGGCATCGCCAAGCACGACATAGATGCATGGTGCAGCCAAGTCACCTCCCCGAAAAAACACAAAGGGTTTGGGGCGCAATTTTTTTGTTGATCGCATCGTTGCGGCGCCTGGCAAGCACCTCAGAGGGTTTGCAGCAGAGGCGCTCTCTGCCGCAGTTGTGTTTGGGCTGTTCGTTGACGTTGTCGTGGCACCGCAGCGCCTCGCAGGGCTGCAGCGGGCGTTGGATTGTTTCGCACTGCTTCGAGTCATGTTGGCAATTTTCCAGAGGGGTGACCTGCCCGACGTGCCGACGCTGCAGAGCGCCATGCGGACGCATCACGAACTGTTCAAGAGCATCTACCCGAGGTCCGTCCAAAGGAAGATCCATCTGCAGAAACACGTGCCCGAGTTTTGGCTTCGTTGGCGCGTTCTGTTGTCTTGTTTTGGCCCTGAGCGCCATCATAAAGTGATGAAGCGCGTGCACGGCTATTCGTTCAACAAGAGCCCAATCACCGTTCTTGCAAGCGATCTACAGAGATTGGTCAAGGCGTTGAGTAAGCCAGACACGCTGGAACCATTCTGTCTGCGCGGCCCCGTGCACGCATGCAACGCAGAATTCGTTACGACAGACCAGTGCCACATCCAATGCGTGGCCTGGGCCCTCATTCTGAATTCGCCGACGGGTGAACTCGGGAAGGGCGACCTCCTGCAGTGGCGAGATCATGGGCTTATGCGCCTAGGCTTTGCTTTTGGCTTCGCACGCACCACTGGAGCCCGCCCCGAATACGTTGTATTCGCGCACGCTTGCGCGATGCTCAGCCCGTCAGCTTGGACGAGGCAGGGCGCGCGTGTCTGCATCGCGCGTGCGCCCAATGTAGTTGGAAGTATTTACTTTGCTGAGATTGGTGGCGTAATCACGCCATCGTTGTTGCACGACACTTAGCAGCGCCTGATCAAAAAAAAACATCACCATCAGCATCGCATGTCACCCAAGCACAGCTGCAACCATCGGCTAACACCACCATACACCATCATAAACATCATCATCATCAGCATCACCATCATCATCATCATCATTGTTACCATATTCACCATACTCGTCATCGCCATTGTCACATTCGTCAGCATGACCATCACCATTGCAATACTCACCGTAACAATCAACACCAAACAACCGCATCGTCATAAAAACTCCGCAACCAACAACAAACACTGACATCGTCAACAACAGCACCACTGCCAAACAACAAACAGCGCCATCACCATAAATACTCCGCAACCAACAACAAACACTGACATCATCAACAACAACACCACTGTCATCAACCTCAAAGCGACCAACAACGACAAACACAACCACGCACACCAAAACACTCGGCATCAAGTATTGTAACCAACAACATACATTGTAACCACCCGCGGCCAACAATACCATCATCCGTATTTGAATCGATGTCATACCGCTGCCGTTTCAGCGTCAAAATGCCGCCGAAGTTTCTCCCGCCCATTCGGTACTGGAACTCTCGCGGCGAGTCCTGTCTGTTGCTGCGACCGCGCGTTCGACGCGGCGCTGACGCGGCCAGAGGCGCCGCGGGCCAAGCCGTTTCGGACAATTTCGCTGAGGACCCGCAGACCGTTGTTCAAGCCACTGACGACCAGGTCGTGGCCGACCGAGCGGCTGACCAGGTCGCGGAGGACAAGGTCGCAGAGAGCCGAGCCGCTGACCAAGCCGCTGAGGGCCAGGTCGTCGCCAACCAGACCGACAAGGCCGCCGAGGGCCATGTGCAGGCCGCCTCGGACACCAAGGTCGCTGAGGACCAGACCGCGCCCCCTCTGGACACCAAGGTCGCTGGCGACATGGTCGCTGAGGGCCGAGCCGCTGACCAAGCAGCTGAACGCGCCTGGCGCCAGACCGCTGAGAGAGTCGCATCAGACGGGACCCCTCGCCCCGTGAATGTTCGCAGGCCTCCCCCTTCGCCCGTCGACGGCAGCCCGACCGAGGTTGAATCCAGTGGCGATGAGCTCGAGAAACGCGTGGTGAAGTTGGCTAGGTGGACCAGAATTGCTCGCAAGAACCGCGACCTGCTCAACGCACCTTAGGCGACGGCAGCGAGAGAACAAAAACATCATCTCCATCGCACGCCATCAGCATCAGCATCAGCATCAGCGTCATCATCATCATCATCATCATCATCATCATCATCATCATTACCGACATCGTCATCACCACCATCATCATCACCGTCGTCATCGTCATCATCGTCATCACCATCATCAACATCATCATCATTATCATCACCGTCATCATCATCATCATCGTCATGTTTACCATCACCATCACCACCATCATCACCACCATCCTCATCATCATCATCATCATGATCATAGCCAGCACCGCCATCATTATGCGCCCTGTCAGAGCCCCCGAGACACCCTCAGGAGCACGCATGGAGCGCACGCGGCAGCAAGCCAGAGGCCTCACAATTCTGCCCGAAGACGCATAGGGACGCCCCAAACTCAGAAGCCCAAGAAGCCACAGACCCTCAACCGAGGCACGGTTGCAGCAACTTCTTGATGAAGTTCCTTTGGCTTTTGTAAATAGACGTGTAAGAAGCGAAGGTACATGTATGTAGCAGTTTTGGCCCAGTGACGAATTTCCCAAGATGGTCGACTACTGGGTTTGTAGAAGGCGACACGTTTGTAGAATTCGATTTTCATAACTCAAAATAATTTTTTCGTAAGTCAAGTTAACTCCCAAGCTAATTTTTATAAGTCAACCTAAGTTTCTGAATAACTTTTATCTTGACGTTATCTTGGAATTATAACCATCCTGTAACACTTATATCCTCTGGTGTTGGGTTATATTGTTTTTGCACGTTAGGGTGTGACTTAGGATGTTACGAGCGCTATAAGCTGGTTGTAGCAGGTTGTATGTAGGTTATAGTGAACGTTATAATCCCTTGTAACAAATTATAACCCGACACAACCAAAAAAGACATGGTAGTACAGTTGGCTCCGGGCATTCAAAATCATGCCCAGGAATGGAGTTCTGGGAGGTCGAAGAGCACGAAGTGGCCTACAGTTGGCTCTGGGCATTCAAAATGTGGCCCGGGAATGGAGTGTGGGAGCTCGAAGAGCACGAAGTGGCCTATAGTTGGCTCCGGGCATCCAAAATGTGGCCCGGGAATGGAGTTCTGGGAAGTCGAAGAGCACGAAGTGGCCTACAGTTGGCTCCGGGCATCCAAAATGTGGCCCGGGAATGGAGTTCTGGGAAGTCGAAGAGCACGAAGTGGCCTACAATGTGGCCCGGGAATGGAGTTCTGGGAGGTCGAAGAGCACGAAGTGTGTGACTGTTGGCTTAAAACGAGCCCGGCTCTGTTCCCGGTTCTTTTCCCCGGCACCCGCCCAGACCCCCCTGTGGAGTCATCAGATGCTCTCTTTTGAGTCCACTAGAAACCTATCAGCAAAAGCTGTTAGGTAAAAAACGGACCTGCCGTTCCCGGGGCCCACTAAGCCCCTGACAGCCGCCGGCGTGATGTTCTCGAGCCGCGGCCCGGAGGCGCCGACCCCTGCCCCGGGGGGAAACTTTTTCGTCCCGCGCCCGTGCTCGATGGCCCCGGGGCCCGCCAGCCGCCCGACAGCCGCCGACGTGAGGTTCTCGATCCGCGGCCCGGAGGCGCCGACCGCTGCCCCGTGCCGGAGGGTTCCAGAAGGCTGCTTTTGGGGAGGGGGTTTTCCAGAGGGCCCTCCAGGGGGCTCGGGGGGTGCGAAGCCCCTGGGGGTCCCCTCCTGGGAAGACCCCCTCCCCCCAAACCCCCTTTGGAACCATCCGGCCGTGAGCAGAGTAGCCTTTCGTCCCGGGCCCGCGATCGAGGGCCCCGGGGCCAGCCAAGCCGCCCCCGCTTTAGCGCCGAGATCGGGGAAGCAGTGCCACCCCGAGTTCCCGGGTCGGCGGGGGGAGGTCCCGAAGCGCCCAGGGCGCGAGCCAGGCGCGCAAGAGAAGGATGAGGAGGATGTGGCGGAGGAGGCCTCCCCATCTTCCTCTTCCTCTTCCTCTTCCTCCTCCTCCCCCTCCTCCTCGCCATCACGACCAGAATCGTCACCATCATCAGCACCATCACCATCACCGCCACGGTCATCACCATCACAATCACCACCACCTTTTCTCCTCCTCCTCCTCCTCCTCTTCCTCCTCCTCCTTCTCTCCATCTCCTCTCATCATCATCATCATCATCATCAGCAGCATCAGCAACATCGTCATCGTTGTCGTTACCGGTATCAGTATCATAATCGCTGTCGCCATCCCCATCACCGACATCCCCATCAGCATCCTCATATACATGCTCATCATCACGATCCTCCTCCTCATCGCCATCATCATTATCATCATCATCATCAGCATCATCAGCATAATCAGCATAGTACTCAACACCACCACCATCACCATCATCATCACCATCATCAACACCACCACCATCACCACCACAACCACCATCATCATCACCACCATTATCGTCATCAACCTCATCATCATGATCATGACCATCATCATCATCACCACCATCACCCGAACTACTATAACCATCATCAGCATCACCACCACATCCATGTCCATCTTCACATCATCACCATCATAATCCTCATAACCATCAGCGTCACCATCACTACCACCACCGCCATCATCATCATCATCATCATCATCATCATCAGCAGCATCAGCATCATCATCATCATCATCATCATCAGCAGCAACATCATCATCATCATGATCATGACCATCAGCATCACCCTCATCATCAACAACATCAGCATGACCATCATCATCCCCGCCCTCCTCCACGGGGCCTCGGGCGGCTGGCGCGAGCGAGGAGCCGGGAGAAGTTCCTCGTGTCAGCCGTGCCCTGCGATATGTGCATCTTCCTCGGCCGCCCCGTCCGCCTCCGTTCCTCTCTCTCTCTCTCTCCTTGTTTTTCTGTTTTTATATATATATATATAGCTCTCTCTCTCTCTCTGAAGACAGCACAGCCCGCCTCCACCTCCAGCCAAGACCCCATTCCCGACCACACGATCCAGGGGGTCCTGGCTGGAGGGGAATTTTTGGAGGGCGGGGGTCCTGGCTGGCGGTGCGGGTGGGTTGTGCTGTCATCAACGACCCTATGTGTATACACACTCCTCTACCTGTCTGTTCGCAAGCCGGGGAGGTGGGAAAACCCCCATCACCCCCCCAAAAAAACTTGACCCCCAGGATCCGGGGTTTCCGGGCCCCCCAGACACCCTTACCAGAGGTCCCCCAGCTCGTCCCGGACCTCCCAGGGCGCTCGGCCGGGTGTTGCCACCAGACCCCAAGCGATCAGACCGGTGATCAGAGGAGCCCGAAGAGAGACCCGAGACAGCACAAGAGCGCTCCAAGAAGGACCCGAATGGCCGCCAGAGGCCCCCAAGACGGCCCAGGAGGCCCTGAACAGGACTCCCAAAACGCAGAAATCGCTTCATTCCCTTGTTGAAGCGTTCATTTTCAGCATATTCGCTGTTCGGGTACTAGCAGCGCCCGACACAGCCAAAAAGTCTTCAGGTATTGCCCCAAGACAGATGGCCCCAAGACTGCCTTTGGAAGCCCCAACTTGGCAAAAAAAAAAAAAAGCACAACAGGTCCTCACAAGGCCCACTCGAGAAGCCCAATAAGTTCACGCCCGAAAAGGCCATGGGAGGCCACCAGGAGGGCCCACGCAGCCCCTGTAAGGTCCCTAGCAGGCCCAGGCTTCCCAGCAATGCCCAAGATGGCCCCAGGACGGCTCGAGAGGGCCCTAAGCCGGCCCACCAGGGCTCCAATGAGGCCCACACGGCGTTTCCCACCAAACTGAGACAAATCACAGGTGCGTAACCACATTTCCCGGAAACTTGTTGCGAACCCATAATCTGGTGCATTCCCCAATAATTATTTACTTCCGCGTGCACCATTGCGACCCGCAGCAACATGACATCCTCAGCGTGGCATTGCTGTGTACTTTGCAGCATTGCTTGATTGACATTGCGGCGGTTCCCTTGGCTTTCATTCGCGTGGCTTGCCAGTCCTTCGCAGTGCGCACCAGGGCACCTGAGCCACGAGCGGGCCAATGTGCGGGCATACAAAGGTCTTTCGTCACCGTTCACTGGCAGGCATTTCTGCAAGTGTGTATGCACACATGAAGCTGTAGCCGTTGGCTTCTGGACAGCGATCCTCGGCGCGGCGCAATCGAAATTCTCCACCGTCCCCCGACGGCGCCATCTCTTTCCCTCCTCCTGTTCCTCCTCTGGGTCCTCCTCCTCTTCCTCTTCCTTTTTCTGCCGCTCCGCCTCTCGCCCTCCCCCGCATCCCCTTCCCTCTCCTCGCTCCCCGAGATTCCCTCCCTCCGCTCCTTCGCCCTCCAACCGGCGCCTTTGGGGAGCCCCTGGAGGCCCGGGAAGGGCCACGGACTGCCCGAACTTCCGAAGACTTCCGAAAACCACCGCGGGGAAGGAGCCAACATTCCAAGGCCACTAGGGATGGCGCGAACGACCAACATAAGCAAAGCCTCGAGGACCAAGGTGCATGGCGCGAAGCGGCAATGCAGTCTTGTGTGTATAGATATATACACACACTAACTCTTTATGTGTTGCCATATATATATATATACTAGAACCACGCGCGCGCTTCGCGCGCGCTTAGGTTCTAGCTAGGAGGCGAGCTTGAGTCAACGAAAGTCGCAGGGAAGGGGGCAGGGGGAAGGCCAGAGAGCGCTGAAGGATACAAATACTGGAACCCTCTTGTGATTTTGTGGGGGGCCTCGTCCGGCCGCTCGCTGGGAGTTTGACGTAGCTTCTCGGGAGCCTCTGAACCTGTCGGGGGCCTCCTGGAAGCAGGTTCGAAGCATTTTGGGGGCCGATTTGGGGCTTCTCGGGGCCTCCTTTGGGCCTCTTGGGGGTCTCCTGGGGCCTCTTGAGGGGCCTCCTTGGGGCCTCCTGGCGGCCTCTTGGGGCGGAAGGCTCGAGCTTGCGGTTCGTGGTCCCCCTCTGGGCCCCCTCTTGGGCCCGTCTTGGGGCCCTCTTGGGCCATCTTGGGCGCCTCTTGGGCCGTCTTGGGGCCTCTTGGGCCGTCCTGTAACGTCGGAAAGCCCAAAAGGCGACTTTGTGAAAAATGTACGTTTTACGAAGGGAATGGGCCAATTTTTGCGTCTAGGGGCCCTCTTGGGACGCATGTTGGAGGCTTCTTGGGGCGTCTTGGGGGCGTCCTTGGACGTCTGGAGGCCATCTTCAGCATCTTGGAGCCCTCTTGGAGGCCTCTTGGAAATTTCTTGGGCCGTCTTGGGCGCTTCTTGGGCCGTCTTGTCTGACCGGGGAGGCCTCTGGCAAGCCCCGACGAGCCTCCGGGGCCCCCGGGGCCCACATTTGCGGGTCGGGTCCCGGCCCCGGGCCCCCGGACCCGGTGCGCCGTTATGTATATATATATATATATATATATATATATATATATATATATATATATATCAGTGTATGTATATAGTTGTCTCGCTCTCTCTCTCTCTCTATATATTTTCTCTCTCGTTCTCTCTCTCCCTCTCTCTAAAGCCCAGAGACGACAGTTCAATCGACCAGAGAGTGTGCACGCGGGCCCAAATTCTCGACCTCGGCGCTGCTCGCAGGGGCGTGAGCGGAGAGCACCAGGGTCTGGGTCCCTTCTGGGCCGCGGGTCTAACCAAAGTCGGCGTGCTCCGCCAAAACGCCGGCCACGGCATCTGTTTCTTGGGCGCCCGGAATGGATACGGAGAAAATGGACATGTGCACCCCGCTATTGCGGATAAGAGTAAAGAGGGTGGTCGCTGGTGGGTCGCGGCCAGAACGACGACAATAAACAAGAAACAACAAACGACAATCACGACACAACAAACAGCACGGTCCCACGCGAGAGCGCGATTCCTGTACAAATTGTGAGGGCGTCCCGCGCGAGAGCGCGACTTGGGAATACATTGTGATGAAGTCAAGCGGAAACTGTTGTTGCTGTTGTTGTAAACCAGGGCCCAACAGCCCAGTTTGGTGGCACCTCACTTTTCCTTGTAATAAGCCAGGGTGCGAGCCCCAGGATAAGCACTTTAACTGAAACGTGCAATGGTTACCTGTCAGGGGGGATCAACAACGATTATTCTTCGCAAGTTCAACAGCAACAACAGCAGCAACAGCAACAACAACACGAATACCAACAACTATAATTTTAGGATTGTTCGCTCTTATACGCTCGCGTGTCATTCAATACATACATCCCAAAACCTCGATACCCGCCCTCTTCGTCTTTGATCGTGCCACCAATAAGGATACATCTTTCTTACCTGCACAGGGGGAGAGAGGATGTATGGACGGAAGGGACAGGGAAGGGGGCAGGCGGGTTGCAGAAGCGTGCGTCCTGCATGAATCGCGAGGAATCCTCGAGCGAGATCGCGATTCACAAATAAATCGAGCGGAAATCCACAGCGAGAGCATGATTCCTAAATGTCGAGGGCGCGGCGTCTGAATGAATTGCGAGGAGGTCCCACGCGAGAGCGCGATTCCTGTACAAATTGTGAGGACGTCCCGCGCGAGAGCGCGAGTTGCTGTAAGCAGGGGACCAGAGCACAAATTGGCGGCACCTCACTTTCCTTGTAAAAGACCAGGTGCGAGCCCCGGGAGAAGCACTTTAGCGGAAACAATAGACTGGTTACTGGGCAGGGGGGATCAACAACCATTTTTCTCTAGAAGTGAGAATCCAACAGCAATCCGCACCGCGGAAGTCAACTTCAGCCGCGCACCCAGGGACAGTGAATGACTGGCCCCCTCACTCTGACGATGCCCAACTGCAAGGAAAACCTGCAGCGGGCGCTGTTGGGCAGACGGTCTCCTGTCTCAAATGGACAAAGTCCGCGGCGACACCGACAGCGAGCCCCGTTCAAAATGAGCAGGTCACGCTGCTGGACCTCGTCGACGTAATTGTCCGCGCCCATCTCGATCGTACGGCGTTTTGTGCTTTCAGTCGGCCGACATCCCGGCCGGCGCAGATCGAGCCTGCCGCGCCCTCTCGAGGAGCGTCGACTAGCGTCTTGGAGCCGATGAGATAGCGCCGAGTCAGCGTCGTCCAGCGTCGATTTAGCGTCGATTGGCGTCGACTAGCGTCTGCCCTCGACTCCTCCACCCTCGACCGGGTCGAGGGTGGAGGGCCCAGGGTCGACGCTGCAGCGTCGAGGCTCGAGGCTCGAGGGGCGGCCCTCGCCCCTCGAGCCTCGGCCTTCCGCCCCCGACCCCAGAAGACCCTCGAAGCTCGGCGACACGCATCCATGACCCAGGGCAAGGAATGCCCTTGAATGTTAGGTCGGACGTGTCCCCCTGCACGAGCGGATTTTGGGCGAAAGCTTGAAAATCTTCACCAAAGAATATCAAAAAAAATCCCAAAATCGTCCCCGTACTATTTGTTGACTACTTTTGAGCATTCCCCTTGTAGAAGGGGCAGGCCCGGCGTAACTTTAGTGCGCAGTTTTTTGGGGGGGGGCCGCGGGGGCACCAAACACGAGCGCGCAGGACGCCACCATCGCGCCGCGGGCGGCGATCGGGGGGCGCCAGTGTGCCCGCACCCAGGATCACTTCGGCGACCTTCGCCTCTTACGTACGGCCGAGAAACACTTGAGGAGGAGGAGGAGGAGGAGGAGGAGGAGGAGGAGGAGGAGGAGGAGGGAGGAGGAGGAGGAGGAGGGGGGAGGAGGAGGGGGAGGGAGGAGGAGGAGAGGAGGGGAGGAGGAGGAGGAGGAGGAGGGGGAGGAGGACGGGGAGGAGGAGGAGGAGGAGGAGGAGGGGAGGCGGAGGAGGAGGAGGAGGAGGAGGGGGAGGAGGAGGAGGAGGAGGAAGGGGAGTGCGCCCTCTTACGTATGGCCGAGAAACCCTGGACCCCTCGCTCTTCGGACGTCGGAGGCCGCCCGCGGGAGGGCCTCCCGCCGGCGGGCCCGCGGCTCGGGTACGCCGACGAGGGGGCGCCAGGAGCAGAGGGGGGGGGGGGGGCGCTTCCGCCATCGCTCGCGCGGGCGAGATGTAGATCCGCATCCACTGCAGTTTGGAGTTTCGGGCCCCCTTTCCCCAGACACCCGAGGCGCAGGGGATCAGAGTCTGGCCCCCAGAGGCTCGGTGTTCGTCCAGATCCACTGCGCCTCGGCCTTTGGGCGCCCCCTCGCGGGAAGTGCGAGACGCAGTGGATACGAAGATAAGTCTTGCCCGCATGCTTGGTTTCGTGCGCGCACTTTCCTCAAGTAGACTTAGGTCGGGCGTGTCCCCCTATAGGCGGACTTTGAACGAAAGATACAGAAAATATTCAAAACATGCACAACAATGGGCAAACAATAATCGACAAATCGTCCCCATACTACTTTTTGGCTGTCTTTGAATATTCCCCCTGTAGAGGGACAGGCCCGACTTAAAAAGTAGCCCCAACATGCTCCAAGATGGTCCACATTTTCTGGCCCTGGCACACATGCACTTTTTTTGTTTTACCTGCGCGAGGGGTCGCCCTGTGGCTAAGGAGAGGAGAGGGCAGCAGCAGGGGGGAGGAGAGCCAGGAGAGAAGCAGCAGCAGCAGCAGCAAGCAGTGCGGGGCGAAGCCGGCGCGCCGGCCTGGCACACATGCACACGTCGGAGCGATGCCAGACGAGGGCCTTCTAGATGGGGTCCGAGCAGATGGGGTCGGAGGATCGCGCCGCATCGCCGATGCATCGGTGATGCGGCGCGATCCTTCGACCCCACATGCTCCGACTCCATCTTGGATGCTTAGAAAGGGGGGTTGGCGCATCATGGGCCTCCAGGCACATGCGCGGACGGGGAGGGGGCAAGGGACGCCCTTGGAGCAGAAAAGGTGGCCACGACACCTGGGAGACGGCGTGGCCGTGGCCATGATACAGTCAACCCGTATAGGATGCGCGATAAGGATGCAAGGGCCTTGAGGGCCTTGGACGCCCATTTCGAAGCTTTTCGAGCGGGGCGCGGCCAACGAAAGTGGCCAAGGATGGGCCGAGGAGGCAAGGATGCGAGGGTACCCTTGGGAAGGTTGCCCATCCTTCCTATGCGGGTTGACAGTATCTCCCCCCCCCCAGCCCTAACCCTTCTCTTGCCCAGACATCCGATGCCTGGATTTTGTTCCACAATGTGCACCCCCAGTCCCGAGCCGTTTCTGACGGTCCCGGGGCCGGGCGGTGGCTCCCAGAGGCCGAGCCTTGTAAAACATGTCCGTCTTGATTTAGTTGAATCGTTGGATGTCTGACGGGAGGATCGAAAAGGTACTGACACCGCCAGTCCCCAGTCCTCTCCGGGGGTGCGTTCTGACCAGAATTCCTAAGAGAATTTAGCCGTGGTGGCGAGGATTCTGCATAACGACGCGAAAATGGAGGTGGTGAGGCTGAGGATGAGGATGAGGATGATGGTGATGATGATGTAGTTGGTGATGAGGATGTTGGTGATGATGATGATGATGATGATGATGATGGTGATGATGATGATGATGATGATGATGATGATGATGATGATGATGGTGCAGACGATAATGTGTATGGTGATGATAGTGGTGGTGGTGATGATGACGATGATGATGCTGACGATGATTTCGATGATGATGCTCATGATGATGACGATGATGATGATGTGGATGCTGAGTGATGAGGATGATGATGCTGATGATGATGATGATGATGATGGTGGTGGTGATGATGATGATGCTGATGATGTTGCTGCTGATGATGATGATGATGAAGCTGATGCTGCTGAAGCTGATGCTGATCATGATGATGCTGATGCGGATGCTGATGCTGATGCTGCAGCTGCTGCTGCTGCTGCTGCTGCTGAGCAGGAGGTGGATGGAGGAGGGAGGAGGGAGGAGGGAGGAGGTAGGAGGTAGAAGGTAGGAGGGAGAAGGGGGAAGGGAGGAGCGAGCGAGGGAGGAGGAAGGATGGAGAAGGCAAGAAGAAGGAGGAGGAGGAGGAGGGTAGAAGGAGTGAGAGGACGGAGGCAGGAGAAGGAGGGTCGGACGAGGAGGATAAGGAGGAGGAGGATGAGGAGGGTAGGAAGAGGAATAGAAGGAGAGTAGTAGGAGGAGGAGGGTAGGATGCTGGGGAGAACGGGGGTAGTAGTAGTAGTAGTAGTAGTAGTAGTAGTAGTAGTAGTAGTAGTAGTACTACTAGTATAGTATAGTAGTAGTAGTAGTAGTAGTAGTAGTAGTAGTAGTCGTAGTAGTAGTCGTAGTAGTAGTAGTAGTAGTAGTATAGTAGTAGTTAGTAGTAGTAGTAGTAGTAGTAGTAGTAGTAGTAGTAGTACTAGTAGTAGTATGAGTAGTAGTAGTATAGTAGTAGTAAGTAGTAGTAGTAGTAATAGTAGTAGTAGTAGTAGTAGTAGTTAGTAGTAGTAGTAGTAGTAGTAGTAGTAGTAGTAGTAGTAGTAGTAGTAGTAGTAGTAGTAGTAGTAGTAGTAGTAGTAGTAGTAGTAGTAGTAGGAGGAGGAGGAGGAGGAGGAGAAGGAGGAGGAGGAGGAGGACGAGGAGGAGGAGGAAGAGAAGGATGGTAGCAGGGTCGGAGGAGGGTCGGAGGAGGAGGAGGTATAGGAGGAGGAGGGGAGGAGGAGGAGGGGAGGACGAGGAGGGGAGGACGAGGGGGAGGAAGGGGTCTGGGTCTTGGACGCCCCCGAGGGCGACGCCGCGCCAGCCGCCCACGCCGCCCCTGGCGGCGCTGGGGCGCCCGCATGCTGTCGATCCACAGCACGGGGCCCACGCAGTCCGCCAGGCCCGCCGCCGGCGCGGGCGGCGGGCTCATCCGCGCAGGCGTCGTCTCCGCCGCGGCTCCCCCGAGGTCTTGGCGCCGCAGTTTCTTCGCAGAGGGCGTTTTCGCCCGGTCTCGGGCCCAGGGACCCTCACAGATCGATCGGGCTCGAAACACGATGCAGAAAGTCGGGGGGTCTAGGGCTCAGCGGGCCCCGGAAACGGCAGGGCCGTTTTTTCACCGTTTCCGAAAAAAAGCCGTTTCCACTAAGGTCTAGGGCTCTGGTCGTGACTTTTCACCAGGGCCGTCGCCGCCGCCGTTCGGGCGGCGTCGTCGCCGCCGCCGTCCAGAGGATCCACAGACAGATCCTTTTCCTATCAGTTGGAAAACTATCCGAGCGAATCACCTAACCAAATATAACATTTGAGTACCACCGGCGTGGGAACCGCCCTCGGTGGAGCTTCCGACGGAGCCGCGAAATGCGTGAAGAGAGGTGAGGGGTGCGCCACAGTGAGGGGGGTGGCGGCATGCGGGCGCAGCCACTGGGGCCTTAGGTGGAGCTCCCTGTGGGGCCACGAAACGTGCGAGGTGTGTGCCATAGTTTGGAGATTCCGATGGGGCCACGAAACGCGTGAGAGGTGTAGAACAAAGAGGTGGCTGCGGCATGCGAGCGCAGCCACTGGAGCCTTAGGTGGAGCTTCCCATGGGGCCACGAAGCGTGTGAGGGGTGTGTCATAGTGAGGGGTGGCAGCATGCTGGCGCAGCCACTGGGACCTCAGGTTGAGCTCCCGATGGGGCAACGAAACGTGTGAGAGGTGGGCCAAAATGAGGGTGTGGCGGCATACGGGCGCAACCACTGGTGTCTAGGTGTGATTGGTGCAACAAAATGGAAGGGTGGCGGAGGGTGTACCAAAATGAAAGGGTGGCGGCATGGGGGCGCAGCCACTGGGGCCTTAGGTGGAGCTCCTTATGGGGCCACGAAGCGCGTGAGGGGCGTGCCAAATGAAGGGGTGACAGCATGCTGGCGCAGCCGCTGGGGCCTCAGGTGGAGCGCCCGATGGGGCCACGAAACGTGTGTGAGGGGTGAAGCAAAACGAGGAGGTGGCGGCATGCGGGCGCAACCACTGGGGCCTTAGGTGTAAGGGGTGTAACAAAATCAGGGGGTGGCGGCATGCGGGCGCAGCCCTTGGGGCCTTAGGTGGAGCTCCCTATGGGACCACGAAACGTGTGAAAGGTGTGCCAAAGCGAGGGGGGTGACGGGAGGAGGGAGGAGGGGGAGGACGAGGAGAGGCGGAGAGGAAGAGAGGAGGAGAGGAGGCGCGGGGACTGTCTATTCAAAACGAGGACCCAACTCAACACATGATGGTTGTGACAAAAAAACAGAAGAGTCCCACAGGAAGGAAGCGTGAGCCTCAAAATGCTGGCTGCCTGTTTCGCTCAGCTGGTCACTACCTACCAGACCACCCCAACCCCTCCCGAACACCCGAATTCCGGGTTGGGGGGCGTCCCGGTTCCAGATGTGTTTTTTCTATGTTCGCCGACATCCCCCCCGACTGGAAGGGGATGGCAAATTGAGGCTTTCGGGTTGGGTTGGGGTGGTTTGGTAGGTGGTGAGCTGGCCGCGATCCCTTGTTAAGTAAACTCCACTACGGTGCACATGGCAGTGCTATCGCCCCAATGCTGGCTACACGTTTGGTCCGGACGGCCACGACCCCTTGAAAAAAATATGCGCTGGCTGAGGTGCACACGGCCGGGCTCTCACGCCCCTGTCCCAGCTGCTCTCACCCCATGCCTCGCCTCTTCACCGTTGCTGCCACATCTGGGGCTGAAGAATTCACAAAGGCGGATTTCAGAGTTCGTCGTCGCAGCCGCCGTGGTCGTTGTCGTCGTCGTCATCGTTGTCGTCGACGTCGTCGTCGTCGTCGTCGCTGCCGTCTTCGCCGCCGCGCCGCCGCTGTCCCCCGACCCCTCTGCTGCGCGGGGGGGGGGGGGCGCAGGCGAGATGTCGGCGGAGGCGCGCGCGGCTGCGCGGCGGGCTCGGCGTCCAGCTCCTCTGGCAAGGGAGTCCGCGCGTGGGGGGTGGGGCAGGTGTTCCAGCGCACGCTCCAGCAAGGCAAGAGGGAGGATCGGGCGCCCATATAGGGGAGGAAAGGGCAGAGAGAAGAGAGGTCACCGCAGAGCCGTCCACAGCTGCGCCGTCGCTCCCTGCCGGGAGGAGGGAGGGGACCCAGACCTCCCGTCGTGAAGAAAAGACGATGGGAGAACTTTCGGCATCTGGGCCCCCAGGATCGTCAAAAAATGGCACGGTACGAAAAACTGGTCACGGGGAAGTGGTCTAGACCTTGTGGGGGCCAATGTTACGGCGAAAACGTCACGACGTCACAAAAGTCAGGGAGATGTCTAGAGGAGAGAAGATGAACGAATAAATGAAAAAAACGATGCCTCCTACTCCTCCTCCTCCTCCTCGATCTCCCCGTCCTGCTCCTCCTCCGTCGCCTCCTCCTCTTCTTTCTCCTCCTCCTCCTCGTCCGTTTCATTTACCTCCTTCGCCCACTCCTAGTCCTCGCGACTCTGTCCCTGGTACGATATTAGTCGTCGTGGGCAATTCGTGTGGCCACCGTCGTCGTCGTCGTCGTCGTCGTCGTCGTCGTCGTCGTCGTCGTCGTCGTCGTCGTCGTCCTCGCCCTCGCCCTCGTCCTCGTCCTGGTCGTTGTCCTCGTCCTCGTCCTTGTCCTCGTCCTCGTCCTCGTCCTCGTCCTCGTCGTCGTCGTCGTCGTCGTTGTCGTCGCCGTCGTCCGCGTCCGCGTCGTCGTCGGAATCGTCGTCGATCCGCGCGGATTCCACCTATCTGCACGGAGCGCTGGCGCGCGGAGCGCGCCAGGGGTGTCGCCAAAGGCGCCGCCCGAGCGGCCCAGCGCCGATTCACGAAACCCGCGAGGACCTCCGAGACCGTAGAGTGCTTGTGCCGTGCACGCCTGCCCGGAGTCGAGGAGGCTCTCGGCCAAGGAAATCGAAGCCACGCCACGCGTTCCCTGGGCAGCGGTCCATCTCCAGACACACACACACACACAGCTTCTACGAGAGAAAGAGAGCTCCAAGACAACGCCCAGGGTCCAGTCCAGATTCCTGACCTTCTTGGACGACATCTAGGAGTCCATGAAAGCTGCTGCTCTTTGCTAAGCTCTCTGATCGGGAAACTGCTCATTGAAATATTTGCACCCGACGCCTGGAAGCCAGGAAAGGGACTCGAGCCAAAAAAATAGTCCGAAAACAGCGGCTCCCGCTGCCTCCCGCGGCGCGCCGGGGCCGGCTCAGCCGTGCTGCCTCGACGCGTCCCCGTCGTGCAGGGCGGCGAAGAAGCAGCAGCCGTTGGGAGCCCCGACGGGTGCCATCCCGCGTGCAATCACCTTGGACACGGCAGGTTCGCGCGGCGTCGCCGCGCGCAAAGGTCCTTCACGCCGCGTCGATCGTTCAGCCTTGAACCGATCGCGGCCCCGAGCATTCCAGGTTGAATGCCGTCGGGTCCAGAGGCCTTACCGTGTCCCCCAGTGCTTCCGCGTCGTTCTATCGTGCGGAATTCAACCGTGAACGCCTTCGCCGGCGTCGTCGGCGCGCCATCGCCGCATGAAGCTACCGTGTAGGGGGGGACGTGCAGGGAGGCGGAGGATGCGGAGGAGTAAGTGTGTGTTTGCTTACGCACGGTGAGGACATTGGATGCGGATCCACTGGGTCAGGAACCCATGGTCTGGAAGGCGGCGGAGCACCAGCCGAGGCTCGGCTGTGGACATCACCGCTGCCGTCTCAAAGACAGGGGACCACCCAGCGTCTGAAGTCTCCTGGACAGTTTCCTGATCGAACGGCCCCACCGTAATTCTTGCTTCGTCATTTCATGAGATGGGGGCTCGGGGCGCCATCCTGATGCACCTGGGTTTACTCTGCTCCTCCTCCTGCTCCTCCCTCTCCTCCTTTCATTCCTCCTCCTCCCCCTCTTCTCACTCATCCTCGTCCTCGTCCTCGTCCTCCCCCTCGCCCGACCACAGGCCACCCCCTCTAGGACAGCACGCCCCGTAGCGCGGACAGGCCGTGTATAGCCAGCGTGCACCCCTGCCAGGGGTCCCTCACGCGTGAGGCCCCCAACGCCGCAGGAGATGGTCCGGGACATCCGCCGATCTGGCGTGTGAATTTCACGGAACCGAAGCTGCAGCCTGCAGCCTGAGCTTCAGCTCTGCTGGGAGGAGGAGGAGGAGGAGGAGGAGGAGGAGGAGGAGGAGGAGGAGGAGGAGGAGGAGGAGGAGGAGGAGGAGGAGGGAGGAGGGGGGAGGGAGGAGGATGGAGGAGGGAGGCGGGAGGCGGGAGGGGGAGGGGGAGGGGGGAGGGGGGGAGGGGGAGGGGGGAGGGGGGAGGGGGGAGGAGGGAGGTGGGGGGGCTCTGCCGAGGAAGGGAGGGGGGGGGCTGCTCCGCCTGTGCTCCGCTTTTTCTGGGCTGCGCCGGGGCACATCAAAATCCGCAGAACTCCCACCGAGGGGGCCAGGGACCCCAAGACGGCCGCCAGATAGTTCCCAGACGGCTCAAGATGCACCCAGGATGGCCCAGGATGCTTTTTGTTTATAAACAAGCGCGAGGAGGCCAATCTGATTGATGGTCTACATGTTTTTGAAGGATTGGGGCACTAAATTTTTGTTCGGCCTTTCGACAGCCCCAGAGGCTCCCAAGATCGCCCCAGAGGCATCCAAGGTGTCCGTATGACGGCCCAAGAGGCTCCTAAGACGGCCACAAGACTGTCCCAAGACGGCCCCATGGGCCGCCAAGACGGCCAAGTTAGCCTCCAAGACGGCCCTGAAGCGCCCCCAGAGTGCTCCCAGACGGCACAGCGAGGCGCCCAAGACGGCTTCCGACGGGCCTGGCACGCCCTAAGACAACCAAAAAGGCTTCCAAGAAGCCCCCAAGAGGCTCAAAGACCCCCTCGAGAGGCCTCCTCCTACGACGGCCCCAAGAGAGCCCCAAGACGGCCCCATGGGCCTCCAAGCGAACCCGAGCACCATCGGGAGCGCCTGGATCGGCGGCACTGGCCAGAGGCCACTAGAATAGTCCTCCTCCTCCTCCTCCTCCTCCTCCTCCTCCTCCTCCTCCTCCTCCTCCTCCTCCCGGTCCTGTCAAGGGCCCCCCCCTCTAAACCTCCGACGGCGTAGGTCTTTTTCGATGCGGGGGTCCCCAGGACACGTGGCCAGAACGCGCCCCAACAGGTTTTGTCTTCGGGCCTATTCTTGGGGTTGGAGGAAGACGACGAACACGACAAGGGAAGAGGTAGGATTGGAAGCATTGGCCGCAAGAAGACCCAAACCCCAGCTGCATGATCACACCTTAGCGAGGAGCTGTAGGAGGAGGCGGAAGACATGGATGGAGAAGGAGACGGACGACAAGGACGGGGAAGGTCGAGGAGGATGAGGACCAGGCCGTGTGAAGGACGAAGCCGAGGACGACGAAGATAAGGAGGGACAGCGGCCATAGGACAGAACGGTAACGAGGAGAACAACGACGACGACGACCAGGACCCAGACCCGGAAGACGGAGAGGCGGACGAAGACCCTGAGACCCAGCGCCGCGAGACAGCAACAAAAGCGCCGTAGAAGGACCACGGCTGGAGCCTTCGCCTTGGGGGGGGAAGCGGGGTACCGAAACCGCTTCGGGGATCTACTGACCCGGGTCAATCCACACCCGCGTCAGTCAGGCCTTGCAGGATCCTGCAAGATCCTGCGGGATCCTGCGGGATCCTGCGCCCAAACCGGGGTCAGTGCGCCCCTGGCTCTGCAGGATCCCGCGAGACCCAGCGCTCTGGCTGACCCCCGCTTGCATCGACCCCCGTCTCAAGGCTCCCGACCGCAGCTCCCCGGATCTCTCCCGGTACGCGTCCCGAGCAGCATTCCGCAGAGAGTCCAGCCTGGGCGACGAGGGCTCTCCAGGACGACCGGCGGAATCAGAACGCTCTCTAGTACACACCCCTGAGGTCCGACATCGCGGAAGAAAATACGACATCGAATCAAACCACTACCAGAGCCCCAGACCCATCAGTCTGCGGCATTTTTCGAGCCAAATCTGTGCGGATCCCTGGGCCCGAATCCGGGTGAAAGCATCCGTTGCGAACAGAATGAGACGCCCGGATCTCAGGGTCCTCCTCCTCCTCCTCCTCCTCCGCCTACTCCCTCCTCCTCCTCCTTTTGGGGCGCTCGGGGTGGGCCCATTGGGGCTCGGCACGGCCCGTTGGAGCCTTCTTCGCTGGCGTGGCCTTCGGGATCGTGGTCGGTTCAACCTCCTCGGTCTGTGCGCGCGGCGAGGGGCAAAACGCACCGCCCCTCTCGACCCCCCCTCCTGGGCCAACCTCCTCGGGATCCTCCCCCCCTTTTCGTCCGCCCCGAGACCAAGGATCGAGTACGGGATCGACTACAAAATTGACGCTCCCTGGAATTACTTGGTTCGTCGATTCTACGACAAGTACGCAGCATGTTGTGAGATTCGACAGCCGCTCTACGATTTTTTCGTTGATGCGACGAAACAATCCATTCTGGGGCAAACCAATGTTGTAGTCGGTCCCCTACTCGACGGGGACGGGATCGATCTGTGAGGGCCCCAGGGCCCAAAACTGGGCGAGAGCGCCCGCGGTGCAACAACTGCAACGCCCAGACCTCAGGGATCCCCCCCCTTTCGTCCGCCCCGAAACCAGGGGACGGGATCGATCTGCGAGGGCCCCGGGGCCCCAAAACTGGGCTAGCACGCCCGTGGTTGGAAAAAAAACTGCGCGCGCCCGCGGTGCAAAAACTGTGGTCGTCCCCCCCGCTCTTCCGACCCGCAGACCAAAGGGGGCCGACGACGCGCCGCCACCCTTCGCCCACCTCCTCCCGGAGGGTTCCAAAAAGGGTTTGGGGGGAGGGTTTTTTCCAGAGAGGCCCCCCAGGGGCCTCGGAACCTCATCAAAACAGTGGGTGCGAAGCCCTTGGGGGACCCCTCCCGGAAAACCCCCTCCCCAAAAACCCCCTTTGGAACCTTCCGGTCCTCGGGACCCAGACCCCGACGTCATGATTCGAGGCCTTCAAGATTGGGTCGGAGTAGATGGGGACGGAGCATCTCGCCGCATCGCCGATGCATCGGCGACGCATCGGCCATGCATCGGCGATACGCTGGCCCTGGCCATGCACTGGCGTCGGTGATGCATCGGCGACCTCGGCGTGGAGAAAGTTCGGCCCCACATCGAGCCGCATCGCTGCTGCATCGCTGATGCATCGGCGAGGCGGCGCGATCCTCCGACCCCATCTAAACGGACCCCATCTAAGAGGCCTAGACATAGGAACTCGACCACATGAAGCCTTCCACGGGAGAAAAACCCTGGGACCAGGACGTCCAGTGGATTTTGGTGTGGGATCGTCACGCTGTCCATAGCAAAACCATCGAAGCCCAAGAAACCCAGGGCACCCTGGAGGCAAGCAGGGTGGTCCTTGGCATGGGCTTCCTCTGTATGTTCAAATCGTCGACCCCCACAGGTCTCGACCCACTCCCCGGGTCGAATTTTCCCATAGCCGTAATGAATAGTTTTGGACGATCCTGGGGCCTGACGGAGTCCCCCAGAGGCAGCAGACTGTCAAAAACCTTCGGGGGCGTCCAAGAGGGGGGCGTCTAGGAAAATGGGTTCGCAAATCGTGGCCCGAGGCATGTGCGCGGTCGAAGGCAAGGGATGCATCGACAAAAACTGGGGGCCTTGAAATCTGGGGAGGTATCATGGCCCAGGCTATGATCTCCACCCTCAAATCATCCCCCCCCCCTTGGCCGCCCCCGAAGCCTCTGTCGTTAAGTTCTCATGGCCCGACGGGGGTCCCCGGGCACGGGTGTCCGTCCGGAGCCGCTCTTCGACGGCGCGCCCGGGGCCCGGCCAGGGCCCCCGGAGGCCGGTCGATGCCCAACACCTCCCGTCGCGATTTCCCCCAAAGGAGATAACGAGTTCGCCGAAGCTTGCCAGATAATTGCCATGGCCCTGTGGGGATCTGGGAGGCCCGGCCAGCCGTCGGCCGGGGGGGGCCCTGCGAAGGAGGGGGGGGGCCCTGCGGCGGCCGAGCCCCGAAGCTCCGAGAGAGGTGCCTCTCGGAAAGGCACCTCTCTCGGAGCTGCGGTGCCCAGAGGAGGATCGAGTAGGAGGGGGAGGAGGAAAAGGACAAGGAGGAGGGGGAGGACGAGGAGGAGGAGGAGGAGGAGGAGGAGGAGGAGGATCGAGAAGGATCAAGGAGGGTCGAGGAGGAGGAGGAGGAGGAGGAGGAGGAGGAGGAGGAGGAAGAGGAGGAGGGGAGGAGGAGGAGGAGGAGGAGGAGGAGGGAGGAAGGAGGAGGAGGAAGGAGGAGGAGGAGGAGGAGGAGGATAATGAGGACGAGGAGGAGGAGGAGGAGGAGGAGGAAGAGGATCGAAGGATCGAGGAGGATCGAGGAGGAGGAGGAGGAGGAGGAGGTGGATGATCGTGGGGGATCGTGTAGAAGGAGAAGAGGAAGAGGAAGAGGAGGAGGAGGAGGAGGAGGGAGGAGGAGGAGGAGGAGGAGGAAGAGGACGAGGACGAGGAGGAGGAGGAAGAGGATCGAGAAGCATCGAGGAGAACCAGGGAGGAGAGGAGGAGGAGGAGGAGGAGGAGGAGGAGGAGGAGGATCGTGGAGGATCGAGTAGGAGGGGGAGGGAGGAGGAGGAGGAGGAGGAGGAGGAGGAGGAGGAGGAGGAGGGTCAAGAGGGATCGAGGAGGATCGAGGAGGAGGAGGATCGTGGAGGATCGAGGAGGAGGAGGAGGAGGAGGACTGACTGACTGATTGTGAATCGGACTCAACGTGCCGTCACGACTTGAATGCTACTATACTGCTGGAGCGTGAACCTGTCTACTTGACTTCTGGGTCTATCTGGAGCTGGGCCCCTCACTCGCGCCAGAGGGGCGCTCGCATCAACAAACGCACTGGCTCTGAGGGCAAGCTACTCCCGCTCTCGTCGGGCTAGCCGCCCACGAGCACGCGGGTGTCATGACTCTGGTGATGCAGCGCCCTTGGATTTGCCTTTACAGCGCGATGGAGGGCGTGGCGGAGAGTGAGGAGGCGGAGGTCGGGGCGAGGAGGAGGAGGAGGAGGAGGAGGAGGATCGAGGAGGAGCGAGGTCCAGAGAAGGCTCGGGGAGGGTCGAGGCTCGAGGAGGTTCGAGAACGCTGAGGCCCCCCCACCCCTCCGCCTCCCGGGAGTCCCAGGAGGGGTGGTTCGGCGCAGGGGCGCCCTGCCTGTGGAGGGGGGGGGGGGGCCCTCGGCGTTCTCAAGCCTCCTCGCTCCTCGATCCTCCATGATCCTTCTCTGGACCTCGATCCCCTCGATTCCCTCGATCCTCGATCCCCTCGATCCCCTCGCTCCTCGACCCTCCATGATCCCCTCGATCCCCTCGATCCCCTTCTCTAGACCTCGATCCCCTCGGTCCTCCACTCCTCTTTCTTATCGAGAACTCCTCCCTGCCACACCCCGAAGACGGGGCGCTTCGCCTGAGACTTCCTTGCAAACGTGTGGTCCTGAAGCTTCAGAACAGGAAGCCCTCTCACCGGACGGCGGGTCGCTTCCAGCGTTCGCCCCTCCCCGTGGCGCCGCGCACACTCGTCCTTGACAGCTGCAAGGAGCTTCACGGATTGCGGGCGGGTGGTGTTCAACATGTGGCTCTCGCCCGAACGCCACACGCACTCGCTTGAAAAACGTTGAGGGCGGGCCGTCTGTGGTTCTCGCCTTCGCCCCGCGCAGACTCGTCTTCAACACTTGGAAATATCTCCACGGATTCAGAATGGCTCCTGTTCAAAATGTGGCTCTCGCCGTGGCGCCGCGCACATTTGCTTAAACAGTTAAAGCTGTTTCGCTGGTTTTCCTTGCCAACGTTCCAGAATGTGTGCTTTGGAGCGGTTCAGGAGTGTCAGAGCGGGGAAATGATGCCAATTCGCGGTGTTGATATCCAATTAATGGCGTTCTGGCACGATTCAGCATCGCCAAGACGTAGCAGTCAGGTTAACTCATGTCGTTGAAGCGCTGAGAATGGCGTTTTGGAGCTGTTCATGATTTTCACACGGTTGTCCCACAACGGGACAATTCCCTGATTCCCTGAGTGGAAATGAACTTTTGTGAGGCCTGTGAAGAGAGAGCTTGGAGGGACGGTGTGTTCCAATATCGTTGATGAGTCTCGGATCTTGGATTTACACTGGTCCTCCTCCTCGTCCTCGATCCTCTTCCGCGATGCTCCTCCTCCTCCTCCTCGATCCTCCTCCGCGATCCTCCTCCTTGATCCTCCTCGTCCCCCTCGATCCTCCTTGATCATCCTCCTCCTCCTCCTCCTTGACCCCCCTCCTCAGTCGTCCTCCTCGATCCTCCTCCTCGACCCTGCTCGGATCCAACGAACCACTCCGATCCTCGAGCCTCCTCCCTCCAACCGTATCTGAGAGACTTCAAGACTCCGAGCCAGAAGACTTGGGTTGGCCTGACGGGGCCATCAGAACCGTGACGCGACCCAATCTGAAATTTAGCGGGACCTCCCGCTGCAGACATCCAACGAAAACTGGACCGTCAAACTTCAGGACGGGCCTGGCGTAAAGCGTCGGCAAATCCGAGTCCTGGCGACCTTGAGTCTGGCGTTTCGCCGATGCTTCTCCAGGGCCTCCCACATTCGGTCTGAGTCAGAGGAACTCATATCGGAGTAGGCAAAAACTTTCGGAGGTTCGCGCGGATGTCTTGGATCGGCGCTGGGGCCCCCTGGCGGCACCTCTGGCGCCGCCCCTGGCGCGCTCCGCGCGCCACTGAGGTGGGTGCAGCGCAGATCCAGGAATGCACGCGGAGCTCCGAAAGTTAGGTTTATGAGCTGTTGCTCTTCCTCTTTCCAGAACGCTCTGGAACAAAGCTGGGTCCTCGCCCTGCCTGGTCCATCCTTCCTCGTCCTCGACCGGGCCCCCGCCTCGTCGAGACGTCCCTGCCGAAGATCACTGGGATCAGCCCGAAGCCTCGGGGAGGTGAGGGAGAGCATGCGAATTGGAGGAACACCAGAATCTGCATGTATCATTCCTGGGAGATCCACGGATTTCCTGGATCCGCGCTGGACACCCCTCCCTGGCGCACGGAGCGCGCCAGGGGCCGCGCGGGAGGCGCCGCCAGAGGGGCCCAGCGCAGATCCACGAAATCCTCGCCAGCGTTTCCCGATTCGGCGTTTCGACATTGGGCGGGAGGGAGGGGAGGGGGGGGGTCTAGCTCTGGACCTCTGCTTAGTGCGACTGGTAGTGCGAGTGTTTAGTGCGACCGGAAATGCGATCAAGAAAGTCGTCGTTTAGGACATCTGGGCCAACTTTCCGGAAGCTTCTTCAAACAAACCAAAGTCAACTTGTTTATTCACGCTGGAGGGGCGAATGCGCTCAAGAGACTGGGCGAGCTCTCGGGCAAGTTTTTCAAGAAACACTGCCCCCGCTTTTGGGGAGGAGGTTTCTTGATCATATGCTCGCCTGTAGTGGGAGTCCTACGCGGGAATCCTATGTATGAGCCCTCTGGGGGATGTTATAGGGAAATCCTGTGGGAGAATCTCGTAGGGGATGATTCACTGGCAGACGAAGCTCCCGCTCGAGATGTCCTCCATATTCAAGCCAGCGGAGCGCAAAAGTGACGCCAGTTACATGTTTCCGATGGTCCACCTCGGATTCGAACATGAAGTGCGGGCCACATAGGGAGGGTGCTCCCGCTTGAGACTTCCTCGCGATTCACTCACAGACGAGGCTCCTGCTCGAGACTTCCTCCACAGTCAGGCGAGAGGAGCGCAAAAATGATGACAGTTACAGGTTTCCGATGATCCGCCTCGGATTCAAACATGGAAGCGGGGGCCCCATAGGGAGGGGGCTCCCGCTTGGGACTTCCCCGCAACTCACTCACATACAAGGCTTTCGCTCGAGATTTCCGCTAGATTCAGGCCTGCAGAGCCAAACATAACCGACGGTTACAGGTTTCCGATGACCCGCATCGGATTCGAACATGAAGTGCGTGCCCCACAGGGAGGGGGGCTCCCACTGAAACTTCCTCGCAATTGACTCACGCACGAGGCGCCCACTTGGTCGATGATCGGGGCGGGGTGGTGATGGTGGTGACGATGGTGGTGTCCTGACATGATGAGGAGTGGGTGAGTGCTGAGTGAGTGAGAGGGAGTGAGTAGTAAGTGGGTGATGATGATGATGGCCGATGACCACCATGGAATGGTGGTAGTCATGTTGATGGTGGTGGTAGATGATGGTGCTGATGCTGGTGCTGCTGCTGCTGATGAATCAACACGCCATGAAAAAAAAAACGTACTGGGGAATAGGTCGAGGCATCGCAGGAGTGTGGGTATCAGGATGCTCCTTCTGCAGAATCATCATCACCACCGCTGGCTTATCCTCGGAATTCTGACCAGAACACACCCCAGAAGAGGTCCGGGGAGTAGCGGTATCCGTTGTTATTCGGATGAGGGTGAGCTGAGACAGCGGCAGTTCAAGATCGGTACCCAGACCTCTCCCAATGTCTAAACGCTCCAGTTTTCCGAAATGCGTCCAGTTGTGGCGACCGCGGCTGCGTCCACCGCCACGGCCGCCCGACAAAAGATGCGCAGCTCGGTGGCGGTAGCAGCAGTCAGGGCGGTCAGCTCGATGCTCGCTTGTTGGCAGCGCGCACAAGGGGGTAGGGGGAGGGGGGAAAGACTTCTCAGAAGGAGGATGCTTCTTAGAAGGCGCCAGCCTTACATCTATAGGTCAGGCCCCGCCTTATTATATCCAAGAAGCAGGGGTACTTCTGAGAAGCCTTCTGGCCTCCCCCTACCCCCCTCTGCGCGTAGCTGACACAGCCTCTTTGTGAGGGACAACGATGGGGACTGGCATAGGGGGGGACACATCGACCTGATATCGGCGATGCATCGTCGAGAGATCGGCGATAGGCCCCCGATCGGGACTCCGCACGTGCATGGGCAGTGTTCGGCCACACGCAAGAGTGTCCCTCGGCAAGAGTGACCTGTCGCGCGCGGATGAAAGGGACGCAAGGTGGCCAAACCCAAGCGCGCAAGCAGCCACTATCGCATCGCGTTCAACCATCGGGGGGACCCCGATGAGCCCGCACCACAGGTCACTCCTGCGAAGGGTCACTCTTGCGTGTAGTCGAAGGGTGGGGCTATCGGGCCCCTATCGGCGATCGATGGGCAATTGGGGGTCGATGCGCCCCCCCCCCCGTGTGCCTATCCGCCCCCCCTATCGTTGCCCTTGACCTCTGGCGTCGTGACGTTCCGCGGCACGGGGCCCTGGTGCTCTCGACCCCATCCCCGGGACATGTGCTTCCCCTGGAGGCCCGGCTCCCCTTCCTTGGGGGGGGGGGGAAGGGGTAGGATAGCAACGGGCAGGTTCCTCCTCCTCCTCCTCCTCCTCCTCCTCCTCCTCCTCCTCCTCCTCCTCCCCCTCGTCCCCCTCCTCCCCTTCCTCCTCCTCCTCCTCCTCGTCCTCCTCCTCCTCCTCCTCCTCCTCCTCCTCCTCCTCCTCCTCGGGACGGGGGGGGAAAGGGTAGGACAGCAAAGAGCAGGTTAGAGAATCAGCTCACGTGGATGGCTTTCCTGGGGACCCCTGGCGCTGGGAGGCATGGGCCCGGCGGCGGGGCGGGAGCCAGCTGCACGCAGCAGATTTCGCAAGCTTCCCTTTCCCTATCCTACCCTTTCGCCCAGCCTGATTTCCTCTCCAACCCCATGATTGCAGCCTCTCGTGGGCCAGCTCCGCTGTGCTTGGGCTGCGCTGACTTGCTTGCGCACTGCACCTCGGGAGGAGTCCCCGAGCTGCCCCGTCTCAACTCGCCCGCCTCTGATTTTGGCTCCCCCGGAGGAGCCGACGATGGGCCCGATGAGGATGGTCACGATCGCAACCACCCTCAGGACGGTGTCCACGGGGTCGAAGTCTTTCGCGGCGTACGCGGCCGAAGGATTCGCCGCCAGGGCAACGCCGACAACCGCCGCGTGGTTAGCTCCCGCCTCGTGGAGGGTCCTTTGGGGCAGCTGTGCACGCTGTCTCCCTCCCTCCTTGCCTCCACTTCCTCCCTCCCCATACCCTCTTCCGCAGTGAAACAAAAATGCGACGGGAGGGTGTTTGTAATTGTTCGGTTTCCGGGCCCCGATGACAATTTCGCGAGCTGATTTCTCACATGCAAAAACTATGTAGAATCCATGCTATTACTTTCGTGGCGAAATGTTAGTATTAATATGTTTAGTCTTATTATTATCATTGTTAATATTATTATTAGTATTATTGATAATATTAATATTACTATTATTATTAGTATTACTATTATTACTAGTATTATTAGTATTAATATGATTGTTATGATGATTATTATTATTAGTATTATTATTATTCTCATCATCATCATCCTCATCATTATCATTAGTATTATTATTATTAATATTATTCCCGGTAGCGGTCTGGGCTTGGGGCCCCGGGTAGCGGTGAGGCTTGGGCGGGGTGGGATACGCCAGGGCGGGATGCGTTGTGATCGCAACAATTTGCGCGCGAGCACCCACGTACGATCGTTACCGTTACCTGGTTGTGTGTGTGGACCAGGTAACGACTGTTACGTACAAGAGGGTAATAAAAAACTCTCCTTTCAGTTTCAAATGCCCCTGACCATCGCGATGTAGCAGACATCGCAGTTCGCCCCCCCCCCCCCCCCCGGGGAGAGCCGACCAGTCTCACAGGACCGCTCGCGGCCGAATACCGTCGGGACCTCTGAGGCTGAACGGCCGCTTGGGGGTTTCATGCGAGTGTCTTTGCAACGCCCCAGGGCCATCGCGAAGCAGGCATCGCGCGTGGGCCCCCCCCCCACAGGAAAAAGCTGACCAAGCTCAACAGCCCGCTCGCGCCCAGCCCGTCGGGACTTCTGAGGCAGAACGGCAGCTTGGGGGACGTGGACGCGTGGTTTTTTTATAGCACCAGGACCATAGCGATGCAACAGGCGTCCACCCGAAGTCACCGCTGGGCTCGTCGATGTCCAGTAGGGGGAAGGTGGGGGGGGGGCACCCCGGAGCATCGGGGAGGCACGATGGAACCCGTACGCCCCCCGACCCGAAAATCGGGTGGGTCTGGGACCTTCGGGTGGGGCTGGGGTGGCTTGCAAAATGGCGTTGGGTCGGGCATGTCCTCCTGCAGGCGGGTTTTGCATGAGAAATCAAACATAGTCAACAAACACGTACGGTAAACAACTCGATTCCGAGAAATAGCCGAAACATCGTCGCCAGACTACTTTCGTACTACTACCCTCGCCAGAATTAACCTCAAAAATGGCGATAGGGCCCCTGCGATGTCGGCGCGCCCTTCAATGTCGATAGACGCCCCTCCGATGTCGGGGCCAAAGCAACAACGGTCTGACCGGGAACGACTCGAAGTTCGATGATGACCGACATTGGAGGGGCGGCGCATAGAAGTACCTCCCAGTCACCGCAACTCTGCCCAGTGTCTCCCCCAAACCAATTCAGCCACGCAAGACACTTCTGAGGTTAATTTTGACGAGGGTGGTAGTCTTGAAGCTTCCTGGTGTAGAGGGACACGCCCGACATCAAAAGCAGGGGCAGGAGGCCCCCCGCCGCCCGTCCTGGCCGCCGCGGGCGCAGGCACGAAGCCGGTCGACGCCGCCGTGGCCAGCAGCGCGGCGGCGGCGCAGAGGGCGAGGCCGGAGAGGAGGCGGGAGCGCACGGCCATCGCCCGAGGGGTGGGCGGCAACGCGGGAGCCCAGCGAGTTGCCAGGGCCGTTGATGCGCGAGGGTAGGGCTCTGATTTCGCCACCGACTCGAACCTCGAACCCTGGACCAGGAAGAATCCGCCGACCCTGTCGGCGTGTGCGAGGGGCTTGGCTGTTCGAGTCGTCGTCTCCGTCGGTCGTCGCCTCCGTCGTCCCCTTTCCCTGCAGCTTCCTTCTCAAGCTCGTGAGCGAGAGAAAAATCTAGCAGTGTCGTAATCGAGTCGAAGGGAAGCCCCTTCCCTTTGATCCCTTCCCCAGGGGGGGGGGGGTCCCGGGGGGGTGGGGGGGCAGATTCGTTTTTCCTCGGGCGGCCTAGAAACCTCGAAAACACTCCAAATGAGGTCCGAATGCCCAAGATGGCCCCCGAGACGGCCCAAGAGGGCCCCGAGTCGCCCAAAGATCGGCCGAAAACGCCCAAGATAGCCCCAAGACCGTCCAAGAAGCCTCCAAGACGTCCCAGGCCCCCTCCAAGAGACCCCCAGGAAGCCCCAAGAGGCCCCCACGAGGCTTCCAAGCGGCCCCTAAGAGCTTCCCAAGAGGCCCACAAACTACCCCCAAGAGGCCCCCAAGAGCGCTCGTCGTCGTCGTCGTCGTCGTCGTCGCCATTCAGGGTCGGCGGCACCGGCCGTAAGGCCTTCGCAATCCCGAGGCTGGAAGACCGCCCGAGGTTAACAAAGAGGGCAGAAAAGCCACCCCGAGAATAACCACCCCGACGCGCGAGGCCGTTCAGTAAGCACACCCAAAGAAGGAATCAAACAGGGCAAGGCTGTTTAGTAAACGCCCAGGGCCGTTTAGTAAACGCCAATTGTCCGGTCCGGGTGGTTGTTCCTCCCTTGATAACAGGGGACAGATCGACCCCTGGCCCCAGGCATGGCCGCGTCGTGCAAAAAATATCAGGACGGGCGCGCCAACATAGATTAGAGATCCATGGATTTGGCGCGCGGTCGCCCAATCCATGGATCGGGGGAGGTACCCTCCCCAAAACGACGGCCCGTGCCGCCTCGCCCGGCGGCGGCAATCCGCGACTTCCCATGGAAGCGGGACCCGTCGCTAATCCACGCCCCCTCGACACATGTTTGCGCTCGCCTGGGAGGTTAACAGGGGACAGATCGACACCTGGCCCCAGACATGACCGCGTCGTGCAAAAAATATCAGGACGGGAGGATTTTCTGGCCATTTTCGGCTTCGGGTGGCCCTCGCCGGGCCTCGGGGCCGTCACAAAACGACTCGGGATGAAACACTGGTTCCAGGGGAAGGGTCGGGGCTTCCAGGGATCCCGTAATACAAAAAACAGGACGTCGCATGTCTGGGTCACAGGCGTCGTCGACCCGAATCATAAGGATGCACGATAAAGACGCAAGGGCCTTGGAAGGCCGTGTCGAAGCTGTTCGAGCGGGGCGCGGCCCACGAAAGTGGCCAAACAAAAACCGAGGAGGCAAGGATGCAAGGGTACCCGTGGGAAGGTTGCTCATCCTTACTATGCGGGTTGACTGTATGTCGACCCCTATCCAAGGCTTCGTGGGGATCTCGAGTGGACCAAAAATTTGGGAGGGGGTGTGCCTGGATGGCTCCCTTGGGGTGTATCCAGGCGTTCCTTAGGTCGGGCATGTCCCCCTACAGACGGATTCTGGACGACAAATTAAACATACCAGAACAATGCCCAAACAAATTTTCAGAAATACAAGAAAATAGTCCACATACTATTTTTTACTATTTTAAAAACTCCTCCTGTAGAGGGGCAGGCCCGACTTAAGGCTTTCTCACTTTTTACTGAGCGGCTTCATTTGTTCGACGAGAAGGTCGGGAGATGGGGAAGAACCATCGCTTGCGATGAGATCCGACGGCGCGAACAAAATACGACATCGCGAGCAAAAATCGTCTTCCGTCCTGGACCCCATCTTTCCGCGGCATGTTTGAAGCCGGACCGATCTGTGAGGCTCCCAAAAGCCGAAGCTGAGCGAAAACGAAGCTGCTTCACACCAGGCGTGGCACGGTGTTCACCACAGGCGTTCTCGCCCAGCTTCGGCCTCATGGAACCCTCACAGATCGAGCCAGGTCGAAACATTTCGCAGAGCGTGGGGTCTGGGGCTGCGGCCGAGATATTTGTTGATGCTGGATTATTGTTGGCGACGTCGGATGTCGGATGGCAGTGTGGGGAGGGCAATCAGCCCAATCCCCTTCAAGTTCCCAGACTATCCTACAATATGATTGGTTCAGTCTGGCGATTCTTCCTCCGTTTCGGACTCGAACAACGCCCCTAGGAAAGGGATCGGGACTGGAGCCGCGGATTGACACATAGCTACGGATGTCAGGGTCGTGAGCGCTGTTGGCTCTTCCGAGTTCTCCTCGTCGCCACATCTGGATCCGCTCCCCGGAATTCTGACCCAAACTCACCCCCGAAACCGAGACCCCGTCCCGCCGTGAAAGAACACAAGGCCAAGTCGTTGACTCAGTTCGGCCTCTGAGGGCCTGGACACCGACCCTAGATGAGAAACGACTGTCCTGAGGAGGAGATCCAGGCCTTCAGGGTTGAGAATAAATCACGGCGCTGGGGGCCTGGATCGGGGGAGGGAGGGCAGTGAGCTCCTGCCTCGGAGCTCTCTCGGCGTCCCCGTGTTTTTTTTGGCCTTCGGCCTCCCCAGGAGGAGGAGGAGGAGGAGGAGGAGGAGGAGGAGGAGGAGGAGGAGGAGGAGGAGGAGGAGAGGAGAGGAGGAGGAGGAGGAGGAGGAGGGGAGGAGGTGGTGCTAGAGGAGGAGGAGGAGGAGGAGGAGGAGGAGGAGGAGGAGGAGGAGCAGGAGGAGGAGGAGGAGGAGGCTCCCCCTCGATGGCGCTCCTAGGAGCGGCCCGGACGCCAGGCCTGGATGGCGCCTGGGGGGAGGGGCGTCCGGGGATCGCCTGTCCCGAGCGGCACTTCGAGTGGACGGGCCCCGAATGGGCCCCGCACGGTGTCCGCGGCGAGGGGGGGGGCAAGCAGCCCGGGCCTCCGGGGGCTCGCCGCAGTGTCCAGGGAGCCCCTCGGGTCCCCGACGTCCGACGCGAACAAAATAAAATGCAACATCGCGCTCCCAAGAGGCCCTAAACTGTCCCCCAGAGGCCCCCGACCAGGGCTCCAGACCCAGCGTGTCTGTGGCATGTCTCGAGGCAGATCGAGGCGTGTCCCGGAGACCCAAGCCAGGCGAAACTGCCCGGTGTGAAACTACCTCGGCGAAGGACTCGACCATGTGCAACTGCGAATAGCGCAGAACATGCGTCTCTCCCTACGGGAATTTTGCCACCAGGGCCGTCGGAAGGGCCACCTGTGGGGGGCCACGGATCGTGTGAGGGGTGCGCCGAAGCTGGCGGCGCCATCTGCACCCTACCATATGGGCCTTCGGTGGAGCCCCCTATGGGGCCACGAAGCGTGCGTGGGGTGTGCGGAGGAGAGGAGAGACCTTGCCAATCGCCAGTCGAATTTTGTCAATGCGCGGCACGAGCCTGTCATCGCTCGGGCGTCCATTCCGCGTGCATCTGTCGGTTTCCTGCGTGCGCTTTCTTTTTTGCCAGCTGATCAGGAATGCATCTCGATGCTCCTTGCCGTGATCAAATGCACACGTCCGAGCGCCAAGCCAGAGGCCCCGACCCCTCCCCCAAAAGGTCCCTTTTGCGTCCAGGGTCCGGCTCTGAAGGGCCCCCGGGGCCCGATGACGGCCCTCGCGAGGGCCGAAATCGAGAGGAGACGCCCGGAGTCACAACAGTATCACATCTTTTTGCCGCGATGAGTCTTCAGACCCCCCCAATAGGGGGAGTACGGGGAGCAGGAGGAGCAGCAGGAGGAGCAGGAGGAGGAGGAGGAGGAGGAGGAGGAGGAGGAGGAGGAGCGCAGCGTAGAGGAGAGATCCATCCGACCGACCACTGCGCTCAGCTCAACAGCTGAGCACACCTCTCCAAGCTCGAGCTACTGGCTTCGCCAGCGACCAGAGCGGAGGAAAGAGAAGCAGGGGCAGCGGCCGCAGGCGGCGGGGCGGGTGGCGGGCGCCCACCTATGTCGAACTTCATGTGCATGTGGACGGAGAGCGGTGTTTCAATCAGGGCCGCGGGAGGCGGCGTGCGAGAGCGAGGGTGAGAGGCAGCAGCAGGAGAGACATCAGCAGGAGCAAGAGGGCGGGTCGAGAGGACAGCCAGGGAGTCACGCGCGCGGCGGACGGCCACGCAGCGAATGAGGGGACCGAGCGAGCAAACGAGCGGCAGATTATTTTCGACGCCACGCTCACAATTCATCCTTGAAGTGCAGAGGCCAGGATTTCCACCAACATCCAGCAACTTTGGTGACGACTGAGCCTGCAGCAACGGGCTCGAGGAGCACCCGTGCACAGGACTTTGCGATCTGCCAGTAACATCAAGCGTCATAGGCGACGCCTGAGCCTGCACCAGCGAGCTCATAGAGCACCCGTGCACAAGACTTTGTGTTCTGCCAGTAACATCCAGCGACATTGACGACGACTGAGCCTGCAGCAACGGGCTCGAGGAGCACCCGTGCACAGGACTTTTCGTTCTGCCAGTAGCATCTAGCGACATTGGCAACGACTGAGCCTGCAGCAACGGGCTCGAGGAGCACCCGTGCACAGGACTTTGCGTTCTGCCAGTAGCATTGTCATCCCACTCGTCGCTATGTCCACCACGTTCGGGTGTGGCGATCAGCGTCGATGGGGTGCTCGGGCTAGACATCGTGGGAACAAGCCGTGGAGTCAAGCATGGTGACCGTCCTGGGGCCAAGCCTGCGACAGCGTCGTAGTCGTCCACACCATCACCGGCAGCCGAGACAGCATGGACGACAACAGGGTCGTCAGCAGAGGAGGTGGAAGGATCGTCGGTGACCGTGCGCGGTGTCGGTCTGAAGGACGGCGGCGGCTGCCATTTCTTTTCTAGCTGGTCAGTAGGAGACGCCATTCGAAGAGTTCTGACCGCAGCCCGAGTCGCAGAGTTCAGAGCATCAGGGGAAACCCAATTGCGTTCACGAACAGTGTGGCACGTAGTGTACATCACCACCAGCTCCTCCGCTCGTTCCACACACGGCGCCGTCAGGCA